GCCCTGGACTTCAAAAGAGCAGAATTTGGTCTCTTCAGGAACCTGCTTAGTAAGGTTCCGTGGGATACAGCCCTAGAGGGTAGGGAGGCCCAAGACTCTTGGCTGATATTCAAAGATCACCTGCTACAAGCTCAGAAATGTTGCATCTCAACTAGAAGTGCAGCAGGAGGGCCAGGAGACCTCCTTGGATGGATAAGGAGCTGCTGAGGAAAATTAGAAGGAAAAAAGAGGCTTATAATAAGGGGAAGCAAGGACAGGTTCTGTACGAAATTAATTAATTAATTAATAAAAAAAAAAGATAATTAATTAATTAATGTACAACAGGTTTCTAGGAAAGCCAAACATCCCAAGTCCTGAATAGGACTCTCAGCAGAACACGTTATTGACAAACAACAAAACTTTTCTGTTTCCATGATTAAAAGACCGAGGGTACAAACACCCGAAAAAGTCTGGTGACAGCAGAAACAACAAAGTTCTTTAGTGTCTATTTGCACTTTCATGTTCAGTGTTTGTAGTCTATATTGGATTCACAATGGTAGATATGGTAGTCTCTCCTAAAAGAGGAAAGACTGCAGGAAGCAGTGAATCTCCAAGGCTGTGCTTTTTCTTATCATCTTCCAGTACTCTTGATTTAGACTTCATACTCAGCTCTAGCAAATCTCTACAGAACACATACCAGAAATATAGGCTATGCTTGGGGAGAGATTATGACCCTACATAAATTGCTTTTTATATGAGAATGCTTTATATTCAAGCCTTGCTCCAGCATGAAAATCCTTCCTGGCAGTTAGAAATTTAAACAGAGAAAGAAAGCGCAAGATATGACAACAGTCTGAGTTGTGTCCACAGAGCTGCAAAGAAGTACTATTTGGACTCTTCGTTTTTAAGAGGCTTCTTATTTGTTATAAATCAAGCTTGTACACTTTATTAGTATAATTGTATAAGAAATGCAAACATTCCCTATCATTGCTTTCTTTCCCTATTAAATATATAATAGTACAATGGCTGTCTGATGACCCACAATGAAAACTCAAACACGTACAGTCTAAGCTACAAAATATTTTTAGGTCTGAGACCTGACAGTCATATCTGTTGTTAGCAAACATAACAGCAGAGTAGATAACCTGAATGAACAATAAAGATATGCAAGTGATGGTAGGTATCCTGCAGAAGACTGCACTACTGTTATTGCTATCATTCACTGAAAGACTTCATGAGAGTTTTTAATTTAATGTACTTTACAAGTGGACTGTTCAAAACACATCACCATTTAAAAATAAAGGTGCAAAAAACACCTAAAGTAAAGGTGCAGAAGTACAGGTATGATCAGAGTACGACAAAAATCTTACAAAAATTATCATCTTATAAAAAATTATTTTATTGGATTAGTTCACGAAATACCCACAGAACAAAATTCTGGACCCAGGGCAAAATTACATCTAACACCAGTGCCTGAAATTCTTATGTTCTCATATTATCACTTTTGTGTTCTTCTTCTGGACTCTTCTTCTGATTTTTTTTTCCATATTGACGATCATAACAAATTCACAGCTACATTCTCTGGTTTCTTAAAGTAATAGTCACTTATAATACTAATAGAAAATCGCACACTTTGCATTTTTGGATGTAAATATTAAGCCTTCAAAAGCAGTTTTATTGTCTCTGATGAATTTTTAAAGATCTGTAGAATTATAATAAACTACAAAGCACCGGCTTAATCAACTCACAGCAGCTGAAGGGATGTGTTACATATATGCTTTGGGTTTGGTTGTTCCAATATTACACTGAATGTTGTTTACAGAAGCTGAGAATATTTTCTACTTGCCTCAGTCCACTCTTATTTATACTTCCGCATAGAAAAACAGCTTCTCACTGATAGAGAGGAGAGCAGAACCGATATTTTGCTAGTGAATCAGGGGTGTTAACTTGAATCTTACTCCAAACAAACCAGTCAGCAAATGAGCCTCTGAAAATTTTTCCTTGACTCTCAAAAATGGATAAATGTGATGCCAGTTCTTCCTCTACTGCAAAACCTGTGCTGCTGTAAATATGCTGAACCAGTTTGACAGTAATTCTGTTTCCCAGATTCACTGTACAGTGCTACTTTACAGACTGGTCATTCACAAAATTGTTCTTACCAATGATTAACAAATTAGGTTTATTAATGTAAATTAATGTTAATAAATTATTTTTGTCAATAACATCATCCTGTTTTGTTTTGTTTTTTTTAAACACTGTTGAAGTGGCAATAAGTAATATCTAAGAAGCTCATAAAAGACACGGACTTCATTCACTATTCACCATTCACAGGTCTAAACTTGCTTTCCACTTCACATTTCACTTTTCCTTTCCTTTCTTTTTTTTTGTTTTTTTTTTTTTTAACTTTTATCGGTAACATGTCCCAGTCTCCTTAGGCAAGAAGATAATACGGTGCTATGTCGATATGGTATGACATGCGCAGTTTTATCCAAAGCAGCTACAGATGTGGAGATGCCACAGCTATAGTCCTAGATTTCTGACACACAAGATGATAGGAAATTTGAAAAGAAGTCTGGTACTCCTAACGCAGTGACATATGAGATCCTTCACCATTCACATGTGTCAAAAGGAAAGTCAGGAGCATTATTCAGATCACAGATTAAATGAATGGCAGTGAATGTCAGGACAACAAGAAGGGAGTCAATGACAAATACTTGCTTCTGAGTAATTTAAAAAAAAACAAAACCAACAGTTTATGAATGGTAGAACTTCAATAAACCATCCAGAAATTTTACCCAAAAAACTGAGGGAGAATTACAAAGTTAACTATTGGTTTCATTACATGGATTTGCTCTCAAAGCTTTGACAATATGCTAGCAACAGTGTCTGCTTCATAAAAGACAGTTAGGAAAAGTAAACCCTTTTTTTGTGAAGACATTGTCACACTGCAGTGCTCTTCAGAATGACATTTTGTCCAGTGTTTCTTCATTTGTCCAAGCATTTTATTCATAATAATTCTGTCTCTGTATTTTATTTTATTAGACATAGCATGAAATAGTTGTAGCACTTGATGAGCTGAATGAAAACAAGGTTGCATACAGATGGTTGAATCCACCTTACACAGTTAGAAACACACCTTTCTCAAAAATATTGACTGCGTGCATATAAATTATATTTCTAAATAGTTTCCTGATTTTCTTTTTTATCTCTGAACAAAAATAACTAGAATGTAAGAAATACAAATATTTCAGGTCTGCCTGAGAGCAAGAAATACCAAAAATTCTAGTTGTCTTTATGTGATTTTGCAGGCATGGGACATTTGGGACACAGCCATGAGATTAAGAGAAGCAACTGAATATTGTAAAGCACCAGGAATCTTAACTCTTGCACAAAGGAGAGGGAGATGCACTAAAACCTTTATAACAATCACATTCATTAATTTTTTTAGTGCTACTGCGGACTAGTTTTAACAAGAGTGGCAAAGCTAAATCCATCAGGTTATATCTTACATTCAGACAATGGCTGAAATGAAATATTTAAGAGATATGTTGTAATCCCACCATACACCTTTGAACACGTGTTTCTGACTGATTTAAGTCTTAGATCATAAAATATTATCACAATAATATATTTTCCTAGTTCTAACAGTTTAAAACCACAGATTTGTATCTGTGGAGGTTTTTCACCCCTTATTTAAGTGTCACTAAGAACATTCTCAGCAGTCTTAAGTCTCACTAGACACCAAATGAAAAAAATTTTGTTTGAGCATTTTGCCATTATGAGAAAATCCGCACTGCGCTCCTACAGCAACAAAGAGTCACTTTGTCTTAATGAAAAATATATCTTTCTCTCTCTTCCCTCTACAAGTGCTTGGAAACACTAAAATGGTTTCACCATATGTGATATACTAGACAGGCTCAAATTTGCTGACTACGAATATCTTTCCAGGGCTCTCCATCATATTAGTTGAGGGGAAAAACAAATCAGCCTTTCAGAATATTTTTTTCTACTGATAACATTTAGTCATTAAGAATGTTTAGAAGGCAAGGAGTCAACAGCATTATTCACAAGAGTAAGCATTGTAGAATTCTTTCAGTGTAGAATTACTCATTCATGTGATGAGAACAAGCATTTTATATTTTCAAATATCACAGTCACCAATCAAAAGTTTTCAGACCTTATATCAAATAAAATTACATCTAATTTTTTCTGTCTTATAAGAAAAGGGTAGGAGGATTAATAGACCAAATGACTAATAGGATAAATATTGTCTTTTTTCATTTTGGGGGGGGGGGAATCAGTGTTGAATTATATCATTTCGGGATATTTCCTTCCTCTTTCACCATCCCAACATGTTAGCCAAATGAAAAGAGAAGTGAATCATAGGAAGGATATGGCTTGTTCACAGGGAAGGAGGAACAAACTGCAATACCTGCTGTGGAAGTAAAGAACATCTAAGAACAAAAAGCAGTACAAGTCTTAAAAGTCAGTTGATAGTACTGTGTCAGAATAGGGTATTTGAGGGCATCTTTTTCAGCAAACAGTTTCAACATTCAGTTCTTTCATCCAAACTGTAGACAAAAGAAAAGCTTAAACTTGAGAATTTCTTAGAGGACCAAAAAAAAAATCCTGATTAAAAAGTAAAGATTAGAATGAAAAAGGATGGAGGAAAATGGAATGGAAGAAAGAGAATACATAGAGTTGGTAAAAAGATTTATATTTCATATAAACACAAGCTCCAGAAATGGAAAGATTTCTAAGAGGAAGTTTTTTAATAGAAGTAATTGCTCTGGTGCCTTTAATTACAACAAAATATCAATCCAGTTGCTTTTGCAAAAATGGTCCAGCGCTTTGTTTGCAATTCTATGTTTAACCAATACTGTTTAGTTCAAAATGTTTCTGTTGAGGTTACATAAACTATTCTTCAGCAAGGTAGAAAACTGTAATTTCTAATATTATTTTATTAATGCTGTCTTAATATTAAGGCAACACCACTCACTACATTCACTATTCTGTATTGTTGGAACAACATTTAATATTTATTTTAATTTGCACTTATCACTATTTCACTAAGAGGTGTTTTTGCATTTCAGTCATATTGAACATTAAGGAATGTATTTATTTCATTTTAGCACAGTGAATATCTCCTAAAGAATTCTCACAATGCTACCCAGGACACAGGTAAATTCTGTAATGCAACTTTATAGATGCCACATTTTGAATAAATAAACATTTGTAAAAAAATAAAATAAAAAATCTAATCCTGAAGTCTTATTGCTTTCCAGATCCATACTTCCTATCCAATTTAAATGAAAGCTTCATGATATTTAGTACATGTTACTCAAAATAATGCAACATGATACAGCTTCATTTTCTTTCAGATACTGGGTGTATATTAATGTAAATCCAGTATCTTATGTGGAATTGCTTCTGATTTACTTTTAGTAATAAAAAATAGTGAATATGGACAACTTGACAAAAGCGTTGAGTTATTCGAAGAATATTTCCTGGGTGTTAGGTAAGACCTAATTAGAGGAATTCAGACATTGAATATTACTTTTAATGGAGAGAGAAGATTCATTTACTGACCTAAATGACATCGCACATAATGCAAGGAGTTACAAAAAAATCTTGTTCATCTCTGAATCAAATACTTCCATAAAAATCTGCATACCATCTTATACCATGTTTTGTTTAGCCTTACTGTTTTTTATCGATGGCTGCCTGGAGTTGAGTTAAACTGCTTTATATATGTATGTTAGCTATGTTGTGTTTTCTACTTCTCATTCTATCTTTAATTTCTCTATTCTTTTCTTACAACAGGTAGATTAATGACGTGTCTTTTTGTATTGCTTGCATGTGCCACTCAGGTTCCATATATTGAGGTCTTGACAGCTGATGATGCAATCTTAATCCAAAATACAAATCAGCTCCAACCCATGGATTTTATGCATATATCTAAACAAGAAAAGGAAATATATATATATTATATTTATACATATAGGCAAAATCATTACTTCTAATTAGGTTGTTAATGATACACAGACTTATAAAAATAATTTTACACATTCAGAAGTATACAATAATATTTGAACTAGTATCTTAAACAGTGCTCTCCCAAAGATCTTGTTGCTATTACTTGGCAAAGGAAATTACTTAAGACATGAGTGCTCAAATGAAATTTTTGTTTGTTATTGCCTGCTTGACCAAAAATAACTTTGCCGAGGCATAGTTTAGTATACTTTAACAAGCTTTAGATTGGTAATCAATCATCTACATGATGCACAGAAGAAACAATTATTAGTTACAAGATAGAAAAACATAAATTCCATCTAGCTGAAACATATGTCCCAGATTATGGTCAGTATTACTATTCTAGTAATACTGCCAGTGACAGAACAGTAAAATATTAGCCTGACAGTGAGTAGATAACCCAGTATTCTAATTACAGAAAAACCTGCTGGAACAAGTCCAGAGGAGAGCCACGAGGATGATCAGGGGACTGGAGTAACTCCCATATGAAGACAGGCTGAGAAAGCTGGGGCTGTTCAGCCTGGAGAAGAGAAGGCTGCATGGAGACCTCATAGGAGCCTTCCAGTATCTGAAGGGGGCCTATAGGGATGCTGGGGAGGGACTCTTCATTAGGGACTGTAGTGATAGGACAAGGGGTAACGGGTTCAAACTTAAACAGGGGAAGTTTCGATTGGATATAAGAGGAAATTCTTTCCTGTTAGGGTGCTGAGGCACAGGAATAGGTTGCCTAGGGAGGTTGTGAATGCTCCATCCCTGGCAGTGTTCAAGACTAGGTTGGACGAGACCTTGGGTGATACGATTTAGTGTGAGGTGTCCTTGCCCATGGCAAGGGTGTTGGGACTAGATGATCTTAAGGTCCTTTCTAACTCTAGAATCATAGACTATTCTATGATTTACACAAAATTATCGAATGTCTGTGAAAAAACAAATAACAAAATCACCTGAGTCCATGGTATTCCAGAATCTCTTGGGTTCCACTATTGAAGGGCATTTAATGTTACTGCTGCTCAGTTCAGTAGAGTTTACTTCAGGTTTGAAAAGTTAGTTTTCAGTGTATATTCATGCTTCATCACTCAGTGTTTCTTTATAAGTTAAAGTAGTAATATAAATTGACATTGTATATGTCCATCTAAAAATCTAAACACATCTTGTTGTGCTACATACCTGGTATATGGTGCTCTCTGTATGATTATATATTCATACATAAACCAAATATTTTTGTCTGCCCACAAAAACTGAAATTTATTATGTGATTATGAGTTGTCTATTCTAGAAGTTGCAAAATGAGAGCTCCTAGAATATGAAAGACATCTAGGAGGGAATATGTAATGAGATCTGTAAATATTTAGACAAAAGTACAATTACAAAGGTGTTCTGTAATTATTTATAAGTGAAGGGTATGAAATAAAGGAGCTTGGGGTTTGTTTTGTTTGTGTAAGCACTCATTCTTCATTAACATCTTTAAGATAACAATATACACCAGCATGGCAAGAGCATCCATATCTTTCAAAAAGATTTAGGTTAACTTCTGGCAATTGAAATTTTGCTGGTGGTGTTGTTCTTAGAAGTGGTACTGGGTCTGAAAGTTCTCTTGCATAAAAAGTTGATGGAGTTAGAAGACAGTGTCCCTCTTTGCAGGAAATAAATCGGGGTCATCTACAGTAATTCTTCTCTAAGTCACTCTTGGGACAGTAATAATCAAATTTGACCAAGCAGCAGACAGTAGTCATACTGAAGAATAAGAAGGGAATATGTTCCTTACTTCTTAAATTATATTATTTGGTTAAATATATCTCATCATCTAGCTAATTTGATATTACAGTAGGGTAAGTTGTTACCCCCTACTTTTTCATTGTCCTTTTCTTTAGCAATCTTGTGTCCATTTAGTTCTCCCCTCCATTTTCAGTACCTACAACACCAGACATAAGGAGATGAGAAAATAAATAATAAACATGGAGACAGTAAACAAAGTAAGCAACAGGGAACTCCAACAGTATATCTGGCCTTTGGAATAAAGCAGCTAAAGTTTCTCATGAAGAAAAAACTGGCTCAAAGCAATTTTCAGCTTAGGGACCCCTCATTCAGAGCTGAAAGCCATAGCTTACAAACCTGTTAATTTGTGCATGTCATGAAAATTAAAAACAACAGATAATGTCTTAATTATACACTCCTGTTTTGCTGCTCCTATATGCCACAATGTTGTATCATTGCTTGTCCTGCTTCAAACCAGTTTGTGCCACCTGCTGTCAATGGACTAAATGTCCTGTCCTGCTGGTGAGTTTGTCAGTACAGGGGGACAGTGGTGCTGTACTCCAGTTTGCTGCCAATGAAACACTGGCTTCTCCCACCGTGCATCTATGTTTATTTGAATTTTGCCTATATTGTACAGTATACCATGTGCAATCATATCAGATAACCAAACACCCATAACTTTAATGCCAGTATAGCGATAAATCTCCTTAATTCTACTTGAGACATGAGTCTTGTGCAGGAAAACAAAAAAAATGGAAGAAAAACTCACACAAGCATTCCCGTCATCATGGTCCTTTTTCCAGCAATAATAAGAAGACACATTTGCTTTGCAGGCTCACTCTGTGCATACACAGCAAGTACATTTTTATGTGTGCAAAGACAGCAGAGTGAATGTTTTCAAGATTTACACAGGTATATCACCATCAATATTCATTATTTAACACAGATCAAAAAGAAGGAAAATAAATTTATCACCCCTACCAGCTCTAGTAACTCTTAAGTGCTTGAAAACTATCTGATACTCCTGTAGTGGCAATGGATTTTTAACCAGGCAGGTGCAGTGAGAATAACACAGAACTGTAGTGGGCTTTCGTATGTTTCTATTATAGAAAACATGGACCAGGACTGCAGCCACAGGAGACATATCGAACAATGACAGATGTGTTTTTCAAATTACAGTAAGTGTAATTACACTACATAAATACGCTGGTCAAGCACTGCTGGGTTGCTCATTAAAAATGTATTTTTAAATGAAGGCTGTTATGAATGTACAAAACCAGAGTGGGTATTACCAGTGTTTTATTTATTGGTTTATCCAAGTATGACCTTTATTTATGAAATAAAACCACTGCAGTGGAGCACAGTTGGTTTTGCCTAGTGCTGCACTGAGAGGTACGTATGAAGCTTCTGACCAACTTCAGTGAATATTAGACTGAGCACACAGTGCTTTTTCCTTCAGCTCTCATGCTGCAGTGACATTCTCATTGGAGTCACTGAAAATGATGCATGAGCACGAGCAGAATGCAGATTGAAGTACTGGACTATAAAGTGAGTGCTGACAGAAGTTTCTGGATTTTTCCAAAATTAAAGGTTTATTATAGAGATTCCTAGATATCAGAAATACCTTATCCACTTGTGAACTAAAACATACTATGCAAGACACCTACCCACATGGAAGAAATTTCCGATGTCCTGTTCTCTAAAACTATGGAATATCTAGATTTCTCAGAATAAAGATAAGTCTACTAATCAGACCAACCAGTCAGCCATCACACCCCCTATCTTCACCCCCTCCTCATGAATGATGGAGAGAAGAAATGAGAGATGTATGGCAGATCATATAAAATTGCAGACTAAAGAATGACAAAAGAATCTGAAGCATCTCAACATCATAGTGACTAAATATTTTTGGCAAGGCATTTCTTATTTAGAATATTAAAAGCAGAAATCAAAACTTTTTTTTTATGGACAACTTCAGATTTTCTAATCAGAAAAGAAATCAAGTTGTAGTGAAAACTAGCTCAATATGCCATGGACTATGGAGTTGCTTCCTTTTATCCTTAAACATGTACACTAATAACTAAGGGAGTTTTTCTGACATTGTCGTGGTTTAAACCCAGTCAGGTAACTTGTTCACTCACTCCCAGTGAGTGGTGCCGAGCTGACAACAATCGAGGTCCGTGTCCCCCCCCCACCTGGGCTCTCCCCTTCCCCACTCCCGGAGGAACGAGGAGGAGGATCGAGAGAGTGCAACTCCTACGGGTTGAGACAAGAACAGTCCAGCAACCAATGTACAACACAAATCACCACTGCTACTATCAACTGCAACAATGATAAGGGAAAATAACAAGGGAAGAGAATACGATACCACCGGCCAAGAAAACGAGTTCCACCCGGAAGCCCGTGTCCTTCCGGGTAACTCCCAGTTACCCTTCACCCCCGGCATGACGTGGGTGAATATGGAATATTCATAGCCGTATGGAATACCTCCCCGGCTAGCCCGGGTCAGGCGCCCCGTCCCTGCTTCCTCACAGCTTCCCCTCCTCCCTGGCAGAGCATGAGCCTCACAAAGTCCTTGGTCAGGGTAAACATCACTTAGCAACAACTGAAAACATCGGCTTCACCAACACTGTTCTCAAGCTGGAAGTCAAAACACAGCACTGCACCAGCTAACACAAAGAAAAAAAAACATGACTGCTACTGCTGAACCCAGGACAGACATACAAATTTAAAGAAATATCCAAAATTGTAGTTTTTCAAATAGATATTTATAAGACAATTCATATTTTAAGGAGAAGTTTAGGAAGGTACCTGTACTTCTTAGATTTCTATTCAGTGATTGGCATAATTGGTGGTACTGACACCTATTGCAGAGGCATTCATTACTAGTATTTGCACAGTTCAGACAGGGCAGGGGCAGGGAACTTGTTGCTTTCTTTTGTTTTAATTTTCTTCTTTTTGTTTTAAGATTAGGGAAAAAAAACAACCCAACCATATACTGTTACAGTACTCTAACAATCTAAGATGATTTTTGCCATTAGAGAGATGTCACAAATCAAATTAATGTCTCCTGAGCAAAAAATTATGTTCAGGATTGGACTAAGTTTAAAAATTTACTCAGTTTCCCTAAGGAATGGTAGGACACAAGTATGATGGTTCCTTCTAAAAAATTA